GCTACCGAAATGTACTTACACGGTTTTTAAGAACGAATGTTCTCAATTCAAGAACAAAGTTCTTGGATATTTCTCTCTGTTCTAATATTAAGAACATTGCTACCGCGCGGTTTTTAAGAACGAATGTTCTCAATTCAAGAACAATGTTCTTGGATATTTCTCTCTGTGAATTATTAAATTAAATTAAATTTTTTTTTTTATTTTAAATTATTTTTTGTCATATTATATTTGTAATTTTCAGTGCACTTGCTTCGTTTTGGTAAGGTCTCTCCACATTCGTTGATTTTTCGTGTGCATTCAGCAAAAATTGTTTTCTGCAGCTCCTGTTGTTTTTGTTCTGGTTGTTGTACGTGTCTTGTTGTTTTTTATGTGCAAGTGGTTTTTTCTCTTTTTTTTCTGTTTTTTCCAGTGCTTTTACTGCTGTAAATTTGCAAAAGTACAGCTGTTAACAATAACAATGACATATAAACACTCCCGCAGCGGTAACAAAAATGCCAACGCAGCTATGCCAAATAGCAAAATGAAAAACATATTACAAAAAAAAAACCTGGAAAAGCCGAAAAAGTCAAGCAGAAATCAAACAAGAGAATGCAAAAAATTAATTAATTAAGTATTTTTTTTGGTGCTGGTAAACCAACGTTGGCAACACGTGAGTTTTTTGTGGGTGGTCGGGCGTGGAAATGTATCTGCCTGCTTAGTTCTTGGCTTTAGTCGTTGTTTTTTTTCAGTTTTTTAGTCTTTTATTTGGGTTTTTTTCTGGTTGTTGTCATAGTTGTTGCTCATCTGGAATATGTCGAATATTTCAGTGCACTTTTTCATGGCTGTCGACGCGCTGAAATGCCTTGAAATGCAATTGAAAAATGAGCAAAACAAAGCTAAACTGGGCGATATATGTAAGTTTACTGTTCTCCAGTTAGTAATTGGGGAATTCCATTTAACAAATGTTTTAGCTTGTGAGCAGGAATTTCTGTTTGTCACAAATTTAACTAAATAGTTATGGTACATTTAATTTTGTAATCTATTTTTATTGTTAGAACTTTTTTATTATCTAATACTGTGACCTTTTTCTTAAAGTCTTTTACGAATCAGAAATGTTTTCCTCCAACAGAACGGAAAAATTAAAAAAACTTTAAAGATTGTTTACAAATAACATTAAATAGTTAGAGTACATTTAATTGGGAATATCTAATATTGTAACCTTTTATTTTAAAATTTCTCATACGAACCAAACATTTTTGTCCTGAAATACCACTAAAAATTTTTAAATTGTTTAAGATAGAATATTATCCATAAAAGTAAATATTTAAAGGAATTTAACCAATTAATTTGTATCTTACAAATAAAATAATTGTATTTCTTTCGTTATCATTATGTAGACAGCGATAAATAAGTGCAAAAGCTTACGACTCGGGTAAAATGCAAGAAATGCCTGGAAAAACAAAATAGGAGGTGGGCAAATAATCCTTGGGGGCGTTGTGGGGTTAAGGGCAAACGAAGTCAGCAGGGCCAACAACAAGGGAATGAAACAAAGCGAGCCAACAACTGAATGAAATACAATAAAATTTTAAAACAAACAAATGCAAACACATAGACAGGGGCAAACACACAAACACAACAAGGAGCCAATGCGAATGCGACTAATGAGCACTGAAACAACAACAAAGAAGCTCAACAACATGCAGAAGCTGAAGAAGAAGGGGCGTAGGGGGTAGTAGATTGAGGGGGGGGGGGGGGGTGAATTTGACAATCACCTAACCGTAGTCGTACGACCCACCCGCCCCCTTTGCCACCCCCTGAAATAAACAAATAGCACTAAAACCAAGGAAGAAACGTTATAATCCCATTTTTCGAATTTATAATACCTTGCAATCGGTTTGATTTTTAATTTTTATTTAGCTTAACAATAACTTAAAAAGGAGTAGCATTTATTTTATTATTGCGATATAAGTTTGGACATTTTTAAAGAAAGTCATGAATTTTTGTAATAAATAACTATGAGTTTGAATTTTTAAAAAACTTAGATTCAATATTTCCAATATCAAACAATAAAGAATATCATGAATTTTTGTAATAAATAACTATGAGTTTGAATTGTTAAATAACTTAGATCCAATATTTCAAATATCCAACAACAAGTTAATAAAATTCATTGCTTTTGAAATTGGGTGTTTTAGCAAATGTTGTTTATAATTAAAAAGAATAGTTTCTAATAGATCGTAGGTTTAATTTTTTTTATATTTTATGTGTAAGGATTATTAACTATTCTTTTCAATATACAATAAGATTTTCTAGCACTAACATTATATTTCAAAAAATTGTTATGTGAATATTGGAAAACCCTATTCTTACACTCAAATTATCAAGAAGTAGGCAATATCAACTGATTTTAAATTACATGAAATATGTATAAAGTTATTTATAAGTATATTATGAAATTTACATTTTTCATGGATCTTAAGATAGATACAAATTGAAGAGTTATTTTTGTAATAGTACATAAATGTAATATACTTAAAATATTTAATTTAATTAAATGGTATTTTAAAAGTCAGGTATACCCAGAGATATTTCCCATATATTAACATTTTTAATGGTTTTTTAGAAAGTGTCTGAGGTATATGATATATCTATCTATATATATTGAAAATACCTATATTAATTAAAAGGTATTTTAAAAGTCAGGTATACCCAGAGGTTATCCCATATACATATATACATTTTTAATGGATTTTAAGGAAGTGTTTAAAATATAAATTTTATAATTATTTTTGCATTAATAAATACCAATAATATATTAAAAATACCTATATTAATCAAAAGGTATTTTAAAAGTCAGTTACACCCACAGATTATCCCAAGCTAATGGGTAGCAAAACAACAACAACAGCAACGACAAGGACAAGAAACAGTTTGTGTTGTATAGTAAAATGCTTATTTACGCATACAATTGCACGTGAGCGGTCGGCAGTCGTAGGAGGGAAAGGGAAAGGGAAAGGAGAAAGCATTGGCGAGTGCGAGTGAGATGGCCACAGAGCCCAGGGGGTGGGGTCTTTCAACGGGAGGGGGCGGTGGGTTAAAATAGGAAGTTTTGTTTGCAGTGCGCACAGCAACGGAGAGACAAACACAACTGTAACTGTAATTGTGTGTTTGTTTGCTCGAAACTTCCCCTCCCCCCTCCCACAAGCACCACCCCACCCCCTTTACCGCCCAAAACCACCCACAACTGTCTGGCTTCTGTTTCCCTCATTCTTTTGGCCAAATAAAAAGTTTGTTGAGAACATTTGCAAATGTTTGTTTTAGAAAACGGAAAATGCTTCGCTTGTTTCATCATTATTATCATGGAAATTAACATCATCATCATCATCCTCATGTTTTGTATTTGTCTTTGTTTTTGTTTATTTTTTCAGGGTTCTCTTGGCTTCTTTCGTTTACTATGCCCTTACTTCTCCTCTTTCTTTTTTGCTCCCACTCTCTCTATCGCTTTGTGGGCTAAGACCCTGAATTTTGGATGATTGTATCTATAAAATAAAAAGTATCCATAAAAGTATCCATTTGTATACGCGAATTCTTCAGTTAAAATTTGTGAAATATTACAACCATTTTCACAAATTTTAACTGAAGAATTCGCGTGTACAAATGGATACTTTTTATTTTATTGTGGGATTTTTTATAGTATTTTTTTTTTAAATGATTCAAGATCAGTCATTTTCTAAGCTACCTACTTTTTTTGTTAAGGAGCAGTTTCGGCTACGTTAAAAAACATAGTATTTTGAAAAACATCTGTTTTATGGAGCCTTAGAAATTAAAAAAAAATACTTAAGCACTACAGCAGATAGTTATTATCCTACGATTTAGATTAGAATATATTATATTATGGATGTTTACTTGTATCTTACAAATTTTCGATGGGATAATAATCTTATTTTATACTTGATATACAATTTTTAAATTAATAATTACTTTTATAATGGTTTTAAAAAGGGTATTCGACGATCCTTTTCATCGATTAATTATTTGGCTCCACTTGTTTGGTTTTGCTCCTTGTTTGCTTCATCGTCATCGTATATTCGTATTCGTCGTCTGCTACTTTTGCGTAGTTTTGTTTATTTTATTTGTTTTGCTTTGTTTTATTTTTGTTTGATTTACGTTTGGTCCTGCCATTTACACTGGAAAAATTCTTATGTTTTGAAAATTACAAAAAAATGTTGCCTAAGCTTAAAATTATTTAACAACGAATATTTTTTTTTAAGTTTATTGATTGTAAGAAATTAAATATGACTTAATTGAAATCTTACAAGACCCTATTTCAGGGTTGCATTTCAATAAATCTTGTTTTAAATGTGCCTAGTCTTACACCTTTTTTTACTAGGTACTTGGAGGATATATCTCCACCCCTTACTCAGTACCTGAGTCACCCCAAACCATCCGGTGCCCCGCCCCTTTGCCAAAACGCCCACCTCAAATTGTTGGCCTGTCGCCGTATTTTGTTGTTCTTGTGCTGCTTCTTCTATTATTCGGCCGATGGGGGGTTGGAGGTGGGAAAGTGGCGAGTTTTTCCTCTCCTATTTAATTTTGTTTTATTTTTTTTTACCGCCCTGTTTTGTTGTATTTCGTGTAGGTGTATTGACTTAAAGTTTGTTATACTTCTTGGGCTTTTGTCTTTCAGTTCCAGGTTCAATTTCTGCTCCTTATTTACGCTTCTCCTCCTTTTCCATGGTCTTGGACATGTTGTTGTTGGCCTTGTTGGCTGAAGGAAACGCCTTCGAAACATTTCAGTGTTTGTCCTTCGGATGGTTTGGCTTGGGAATTTGCACCAAGTTTGTTCTGGGCGGTTTCCATTCTCATATTATTTTTATTGCTTTTTTGAGAACTTTCGTTCTTTACATCCACACCGTATAAATGTCCGAAAATTCAGAACTGATTTAAAATATTTTTGCACTGTTTTGTTAAATTTGTGAAGGGCATACTTTTAAAGTTAACTTTACATAGTCTGTTTTTCTTTACCTAGCATAATATGTAAAGCATTTTGCTTCAAAATATTTCAGCCTCAGATCCGGAAAATTTTCACGCCTTAGGACATGTCTTTTTCCAAATTATAAGTATCTGCATATTATACCGAGAAAATTAAAGGTGAAAAAGAGATTGTGAAATGAACAAGCAGACCAAGGAATGGTCTCGAGCTCGGCTTTGCAAGCCCAAGGATAATCTTACCACAGAGGCTGGAAAACGGGAACGCTTTGTGCCATCCTGCGAACTTGAGGTGAATTTACAAGGAATGTGTGTAGGACACAGGGAAAAAATAAAAGGTTCCTAAAACAATGTAAAAATATTCCATATTTTTGTGAAAAACAGTAACCCCTAAAAAGTCTTACAAGAAAAAAGTCTTACATTGGTAAAATTTTGTATTGAGCTTATAAATAATTTAAATATTAAAATTATAATAAAACTAAACTAAAATAAACAAATTATAATAATAATATAATAATAACATAAAATATATATAAACCTTGAGAAGCGCTGTGATAGGAATACCTATATAATTTATCTATAATTTCTGATTGAATTTTCATAAAAAGAATCTATTAAATTCATCAACATATTGCTAAGGGACATATTTTCTATCTAAAGACCCATTTAAGTAGGCAACAAATCTATCACTTCGTACCACACATATAATACTTGATGCTTTCTGTAAGAGTGGCTTGTATATACTTGCTATACCTAATATTTGTATTTTTTACAGTACTCCCCCGTATCGATGTCTCACCTGATTGGATGGGAATACGCCCGGATTTGGCTACGCGATCGCGATAAATTTATCCAGCAACGTGAACGCGCAGTCAAAGCGAAATATATCAAGAACGACTTCGAGTGGTGGTTGAAATTGCGCAAAACATCCAAAAAGTTCTGCAAAGTTGGGGCATAAGTCCGGAAAAAATAATAAAAGTTTTGCGATCTGGCACATTTGAATAATATAGGAAATTATATTTAAGTATAGCGAAAAAATAACTTAAACGCTATCTTATTGGCTTCCAGTATCCAGTACCTTCGTAGACATTTTTCGTTGCCTTAATGATACATTTTATAAAGTGTATTTTTTTTAAATTTGATTGGTATTTATTGTACTTTGTTCTTCTTGTCTATGCCCAGTTTTTAATTGCAAAATCCAAATGAAACTTAAATTTATCTATACTTATCCACATTTCAAATTCATTTTCAATTCGCCGTCTAGACAGGAATTTTCCTCAATGTAAATTAACTTACCAGTATCTTACATCTACATGAATCTACATATTTGCAACCAAAGCGACACCTATGCCTTTTGAAGTTGTGCTCACTTATAGATGGCGCATAAAATCTATAGTTTATTTGTGAAGAAAGTGGTGAGGGGTTGTTGCTATGCAGAATGGGGGGTCAAAGAGAAAGCCAAGGTTGGTGTTACCAGATTAGGAAAAATATGACTCATCTTCCCGAAGAGGAAGAACGCATTGCGCCTTTATTCAAAAATATTGAATTTTTGAGCTTGATAAAAGTGTAGGAACAGAGAACAACGACAATGGATAATATAAAAATAGCTGTTACAGAAACTAACGTTTATCGTAACGTAGTATTGCAAAAAATTACCATTTTGTAGCACAAAAAAGAATTGCCTACACATTGGTGCTATTTTTGCCACAACTGTACTTTCTTAATCCCAATAACATTTTTTAATACTATTTTCAGTGGTTAACCTTTTTTATAGTTACTTAAATGTTCGTATTGTTCAATTTTACCCATACAATTTTTTGTTTTTACAAAGTGAATTCTTAACCAAGATCATTTATGATTTAGCGTAGATTCAGGGGGTTCTAAAGCGGCCCTGGAATTTCATTTTATTTTTTACTTGAAACAGTGTAATGGGTATTTGATAGTCGGATAGGTTGTTAAAATATTTTTAAACACGGTGTTTTGTTTCTTTATAAACTTTTAATGTTGTTTTTTAAATCAAATAGTGTATAATGTTATTGATTGTCCTTGGCTGCTTGGCAAATGAAATATCGTGCAGCTGAAGGGGCATCATTGAACATTTTACCACTGGACAGGGCAACGGATTTATCCGTTTTCGTAGACACAGGATATCCTGAATACCACTCCATGAATGGAGCTGCAGTGCCAGAAGCTAAAGATTTGTATACGCCCTCGTCGGCCAGATCGTTGATGCCCGTCCAGTAGTTATTGCTGTTGGAAATTTCAGCAGCGATAGCGGTCAGTTCCTCCTTACTATTTATGCTCGCAAGGGTGCCCCCCATTTGGATGCAGGCATTTGCGGCTGCGAACCAATTTAGTGCCTTCTTATGTTCGATGTAGTAGAACTTCGTTCCGATCCGCTTGAAATTGGGCGGAATGTCTTTCTCCGTAGCCATATAGGTCACCCCAGTCTTATAGGTCACCTGTTCAACTTCCCCTTGGGTTTGATCCAGCATCATGTTCAAGGCCTTAAAGCAGATCCCTCCCAGTTGGTCCATTTGATACCGCGAAAGAACTGGATGTCCTGAAGTCGCCAAATCGGGGATGACGGATCCATTTACCAAATGGCTAGCGAAAATTGCGCAAGCCAAAAATATGCGATACGCGTACATTTCAATTGTGCTGGACTCTTAATGTTGGGCTCTCAAAGCGAACTGATTCCTCACTTCATCGCCGAATTCCCAAGAGCACAATGTCTATAATACATAAATATATATTTTGGTATTTCCCTACTGATAACTTGATGGGACAAACTGCGGTGACCAATTGCAAAACAAATTTAAGAGATTAAAATATATTAACAGCCGGAAACCGGATACTATAAAAGATTTTGGTTCTTTTAAATTTTTTTTATTTGAGTACATAAAGAACACGCTTCTTTATAAATTCACATTTCTTTAAATTACTGTAATTTACTATAAAGTCGTTTTTCATATTACCCTATTACCTTATTTACATCCAAAAAAAAAAACAAAAGGTTATATTTTAATACCGGTTTTATGAAAAAGTATACCAGAGAGGCAAAGTTGAAATCAAAGAGATTCATGACTAGACAATATAAAGGGTATATTTGACAGTTTAATTTCTATTTTAAAGAGTTTAGTAATTGGATTTGTGATATTACTTTAGGGCCAACTACTTTTTATTAAATTCCTTGGAAATTATTAATTAAATACTCATCTTATCAACGACCAAAGTTTCTTTTCTATGACTATTTTTTTCAGTGTACTGATTCGGGTGGGTCGATTTGGGTGCCTAAAAATTGTATGGGGAACGTTATCTCAACAAATGTATTTTTCATTTGCGTTTGGGGGGAAGCAAATGTATTTCTTAACCATAACTTTCTTCGCCAATATTACTTAAAACCCTCTAAAGACGATACGATTGGTCACTTATTTCATCCTCATACAAATTGACATGTTCTATTACTAATTAATCTATCATTATTAAGATGTTTTATTTTTAAAAATTAAATCTTTATAAACCTTAATACCTTATAATAATACTATAGTTTATTATAGTACTATATAATTTTGCATCTTTTTTTGACAGCTGTTTTGATTAAAAAATCTCACCAGCGAAAAGCTTTCGCTTGAGCGTTTTGAGCCTTCGTTTTCATACAGGTTGCAGGACCGGAAAAGCTCTCAATTCGGATTGACTCACTGCCACCCACTCACTTTCTCAAACTCTCTCTCTCACTTTCCCACTCTCTCACTGCGGTTTTTACCACTCGCCCACGCGTGCAATTCTCTGAGCAGATGCAGCGGCAAAAGCAGCGCAGTCGACGTCGACTTTACATATAGAATGTTAGATATTTCGAACAACCCTACTATTTAACTCGAGATGACTTTTGATACGAAGTCTTTTTACCGAGATTCTGTTAGTATTTAAATGAACTAAAACTATTAAAAATGTAAGTTTACTTAAAATAGTGTTGCTAGTACATATATGTATGATTTTCTACACTTAGAAATTTTTAAAGCAATTTACTACAATTATATATATAATAATATAAGATTTAAAAATGGAAAACTAAAAATAAATACCTGCATGGTGCATTCAAATTTTTGTATTATATACTAAATAACAAACTAAATAGATACACATAATGTTCAATACAAAATAAAGTAAATTGCGTGATTTAATTTGAAAATATTAAAAACAAGGTGGTTCTACATAAGTCATATTAACTTTAAATATTAAAAATTATTAGCAATAACAATAATTTCATGTTAAATTAAAATTTTAAAATCTTTAAATTAACTATACTTGCTTAATTGAATATTTTCATATTTAAAGTAAATAAAAACCGCAATGGGTGAAACCTATCAAATCATTTTAAAATTAAATACGATATTCTTGGACTTACTAAGTTTGTTTCCATTAAGCACAAGAACGGGTTGGTAATTTTTTAAGTATTAAGAAGAAAAATTTGGTAAAATAACTGATCTTTCCATTTTAATAAATTTGTTAAGTGACTCAGCACGGACTCGAACCACTAAAGAACTCAATTCCAGGACTTTCAGTGGGTGGCAACTATTTTGGCGCCCACGCAGAGTTCAAGCTTAAGAGCAGAGAGAGAAAACGAGGTTTTACTTGAAATATTAATTTGTATTTACTCTTATGCACAAAAAAAATAGTTGTTTAAATATAAATGACATTTTTCCTTTCTTGTTATAAATAAAATAAATAATTATAGTTCAAGTAGTAGGGCTTCCTATTTTAATGTGAGTTCAAAACCCTTCGATGATCAAAAATATTTGTTCAATAATTACAAATATTATATTTTTATTTTCTTATAAAACAGGCAAGTTCAGCTTAATGTGGTAAGGAAAATATTTTTTTTTCAATTAAGAGTTCAAGCAGCTTCCTATTTTAAAGTAAGTTCAAGTATTTCTTTAATAATTACAAATATGATATTTTTATTTTCTTATGAAACAGGCCAATTCAGCTTAATGTGGTAATGAAAATATTTTTTTTTCAATTAAGAGTTCAAGCAGTATGGCTTCCTATTTTAAAGTGAGTTTAAAACGCTCGAAGATCCACGATTTTATTTTTTAAATTTATTTTTATTTGATCTTAACATTAACATTGCCCGTGTAATTACCGTTAGCGGTGGGGGCAACGAAGAGCATTGAAGAAGAGCGCTCAAGAGCGTGGGGGGCGCCAAAGCTTTTTGGGGGCGTGAGAGAGAAAAAGCCGAGCGAACCGAATCAGCCGTTTTTGCACTCACTCAATGCGAATTTGATTCCAAACCGCCAGAGAGAATCTATATAGAGGGGCTCCTCGGACTCGGTTCGAATAGGTTTTTCGCAGCGCGCGCGTTCGCATCGGAAAATCAGAAAAGCTGGCGAGCATTTACAAAACAAATTCGGCAGGTACAATTGTTAGTTTTTCCCCCCCCGCTCCCCCTCATCGCAAATGACTATTGCGTCTGCAAAAATCCGTCGTAATTAACCGTTGATCGTTTACCGTTATTTCGTTACGTTTGTTATTTATTAAAAACAAGAAAAAAAGAATACTTGTTACGCATTTGGGGGAAAAAATTACAACAAATGCAAAGCAGTGAAAATCAAAACAAAAAATAAAATGTTGGCTGCTTTTCGTGTTTTCTCGCGTACGTGTGTGTGTTTTTGTGTGGTTGAGTGCAGCAAAAATAAATAAAAACCGAAAAGCAACAAATAAATAAATAGAAAACAAAAGCAAAATCAAAATCAAAGGCAAATTACTGGCAAAGTAAGTTGATTATTTCGGAGTGTACGCGTGCGTGTGTGTGTGTGCTAGCATATGTTGCATTATTTTGCATAACAATTTATCAAATTTTTATATTTTTTTCTAACGCAAAAGGTGAGTTACCCTTTTAAGTTATTTTAACGGTTTTTGGCGTTGGTTTTTCCATTGAGAAATATGAAAAAATGCTTACAATATGTTAGCATGCACACACACACACACACACTCGAGCGGCGACTAACTGTTGTCTGTGTATATGTGGGTGAATTGGCAATACCGCGCACGTGTATTGGTGAGGGGGGCTTGTTTTTGTTGCTTTTGCGGCCAAGTGGCAGCAAAACGTTGCAAGCAACAATAACAATGATGGCAAAACAAGTGCAGTCAGCAAAACCAACTCAACCAGTGCCTCTCGCGGTCTCTCCTTCTCACTCTCTCTCTCTTTCGAGTATTCCCCTCCTGCCTCCACTCTCGCTCTTTCCTTTTCGCACCCATTGACGCAACTGCATGGTCAGGGCTTCTTTTACTGTTACAATGTTTATGCGTGGTCCTGTTTGCAAAACAAATTCACGAAGTAATAATTTCATAAATTTTAGGAAATCCAAAATGAACCCGAAAACAAATTTAAATGTAACTACACCCATATAATAGATAACACCAAACAATAAAAAATAAGCAAAAATATTTTTGACAAAAAATTTCATAACAATTTTAAGGTAATTTTCCATAAAAGGTGTTAAGATATTAAAGTTACTACTGCAGTTTTAGTCAAGGCTAAGAAAGTACACTGGTCTTATTGAGTTTTATCAAAGTATTTTGAGGCACTTTGAATTTTGTAAATATTATGCTCTCCATTTGTTTTTTTAGTCAAATTTTGTAAGTTCTATTCTTAAAACAAGAATTCATGAATTCATCTTAAGCTAAGATTTCATGAATTCATCTTAAAATAAGAATTCATGAATTTATCCTAAAATAAGATTTCTTGAATTCATCTTAAAATAGGAATTCATGAATTTATCTTAAAATAAGAATTCATGAATTCATCTCAAAATAAGAATTCATGAATTCCACTGCATAAACATAGCAATTCACTGTCTATGGTCGTCTTTGGATTTTGGCTTCGCGTTTTTTGCTCTTCGCGTTTCGCTGCTCTCTTTTTGCGCCAAACAAAGCTCAGCCGACACTTGTCGCGCCTTTTGGGTGTCTCACCTCCCACCTCCATCTTCCTGCCCCGCCCCATTCCCGCCGCCCCCGGCTGAACGACTGCGTCTTTATATCTTTTACAATTTTTGTTTTGATACACTGAGCAAAAACTATGAACAAAATGATGGCATAGAATGTAACATCATTTTATAATCAAAGATCATGATACAACATACTAGTTTGCATTTTTTTTTTATTAAAAATAGAATACAAGCTACGAGAATAGTATTTAAAATTTGTAAAAGTCATTTTCGTATAATTTTTAAAGTAATGTTTTAAAAAGGATTTTTTAGTTCCCAATCTCTGTTACTGAAAATGTATTAAGTAGTATAATACTATTACAATATTATATTACCATATATAACATTTAAAATTGTAACAGATCAGCCAGGCTTTAAAAGGTGTACTTAAATTTTTGTTTGGATCTTAAAATATTATTATAATAATATCCTAACCATATACTTGTCAAAAATTCCGTTTAGCTTATAAGTACATTTTTTTCCAAGTGTAATCTCTCTTGTTTTACCACCTCGAGGGGTTTTTCGCTCGAAGCTTTTCCGAGTTTCGTTCGATTTCCATTTGCTTTTAATTGCATTTATGCATTTATAATCGAGTTTGACTTTGGTAAGCTTTTACTTTGGCATATGCTAGCTCGTCGCCCAGTAAAGGGGGGCTGTTGCCGAGGGGAAATGGGCTCTTACAGATCCACAAGATAAGTCTCAGTTTCGGCCGTTTTGGTTGTGAGAGGTTTGGACAAAGTTTTCTAATTGGCCTTGACGCCGTTTTCAGACTTTCAGTGCTACCAAAAGGCAAAGTGCGAAATTTTCTGCGCTCTAAATGAGATAGTTTATTTGCAATTATAATTTGGTTCATTAAAGTTAATTGAATTAAGGGCTGGCGTAACAATCTTAGCAAAAGGAATGACAATGGTGGTGGGGTTAAAGAAAAAAAGGAGTGTAATTAGTAAGAAAATTATTATGTAATTATTTTTAACAAGGTGAAATTATATTATAACTACCTAAAAACTTTTTTATTGCTATAAAAGCGTAGAGAAAAACGCATTTTAACCTTCTTTCCTTAAAAAAAAGGTTTTAAATAAGTTTAATTTTTTAAAAATGGAAAATATTTTCCGGACTCTTTTTAATACAGGTTCTAAATATATTTAACTTTTTAAAGTGCAAAAATTAAAAGTATACATTTTTTAAAATGTTTTTATTTTTCTGAGGGATTTTTTTTCAACATTTTTGCAATTTAGCCCAACAGCTGTTGCATCCTAAACAAACAAACTGTGTTCGGCCTAGTCCTCTTGAAAGCTCAATCAAAGTCGCAGTGCCCCATATACATCTGTACATCCCCCACTTCCCAGAGACTCTCCAAACTTCTGCACCCCCACCTCCCTTAAGTTGGCAACTTAACATATGTTTATCTGCTAATCATGGAAATGCGATGCGGTGTTGCAAAATATTTAACTAGAAAACCTCGAGTTAAAAAAAGAGGGAAATAAGCGAAACAGCTTTTCCAACGAAAAACAACATGGGAAGGCCACCTCACCTACCGGTTTTCCAGTTCCACAGGATGGCGACCATATGCCAAAAAGCTAAACCAAAAATCGCACACACATTTAGGGATACAGCGAAATATGGCCAAAAAATAAGCAGGCTGCTTTGACATTTCGTTGTCTGGCCACGCGCTCATCTCGAACAAAGTCTCCCATAAGGGATATAGCAGCACAAGGGTGGGTCAAAATGTTTGAAACAAAAAAATGTTACCGTTAATAAAACACAAACCAACTAGTAGAGCAAAAAAAAATAATATTACTAACGCTGAACTCAGTTTATTTATAAATAATTAAACTAATGGAATTTTTATTTATAACATACAAATTCAAAATAGTATTCAAAACGTTGGACAAACTTTTAAAAGGAAATAAAAATATATTAAGTAGCCTACGTAGTAAACAAGTTGCAAATAAGTATTTCTATATTAGTTATAAACTGCAATAAGGAACGTATTTTTTCAAATTTCATTAAGTTTATAATTTTTTTTTGGAACCATAGTTTGAACTGAGCTTATATCGATGCACCCTAATAAAAAACCTTCTATCGAGGCACACATTTTGTACATCCGCACATCGGTACACACAAATAATTCGCTGTGCTATGTATGCCAGTATGCCGAAAAAAAGGGCAAGACATAACTTCACTCGCTTTTGTCGCTGCCCACGCTTTACGGGGCCGAAAAGCCGCCACCCACTAAGCTCACCCAGCCGCCCACTAAAACCACCCGCTAAAACCACCCACTGGCGAGAGCTCACCCACTCAACCATCGTGGGTGCCTTAACATTTACCTTGTTGGCCCGAAGTTGTCTTCCAAACATTTGTTGCACTCTTCGTGTAGAATTCGTTCGTTTCTCACCATGCTGCCGAAATTCACCAGGCTTTTCACGGTCCCGCTCGCTCAATTTCTCCTACTCCCTCTCTCTCTTTGTCAGCCTTTCTACGCCTTTCTCTTTCTCTGTTTACATTGCTCTCTCTCTTTGAGGTAACCGACGCCGGTCCGACGTCATCGCAAAGGTCAAAGAAAAACAGAGAGAGAAAACTATACTTGAAACCTACAAACTATTACACTTGGAATAAAATTTAGGAGTTTTCCAAATTACTATTTTATATATATTTATATATATATTTATATATATATTTTATATATTTATATTTTATTTTATTACCAGAGGAATTATATCTTAAATTATATCTAAAATAAAAAAAAATAAATACTCGTATATATAGAAAACGGAATAAAATTAAAATGTAAAAAAAAAATTGTACCTATAGGTACTTTACTATACTTTTTTAAAAAATAGCTTAAAAAAGTTAGGTTTTTTGTAATTTAAAATGGGATAATTTGTTAAGTGTATTAAAGCTCTGGTTTTTAATTTGGAAAGTTCAGGGGGGTTTTGTAGCAATGTAGGTTGGCAAAATGCGAGGACTTGTAGGGTGGTGATTGCGTGGGGCGTCCTACCATATGGTCAACTCGATGCACAGAGCAAATTGCCACTTGGCGGAGGGGACGCTTCATTTGGTTTTCAAATTGAATAGGAAGCGTCGCGACATCATAGGGCGTCTCATTGCCACCCAAGTTTCCCGAATATATAGATACTCCTCACCTCCCTTGCATTTGAGTATTGTCCTACGCTAATTGAGACATTTGTCAACTTGCGTAAATGAGCATTCATTTCTCAAAGGCATCCTCTCATTGGCCAAGGGAGTTAGGAGACAGAAGCAGCGTATTCCCCATTGCAACTGGGTAATTTAATCAATTGGTTCCCAGGGGGAATTATTAAAAATAATTTTGAATATAAATTTTGGGTTCTTGAAGAAACGTTTATTTTCAAACAAACCCATAAGGCTTACTTTAAGAAGTATGTAATACTATGATATCAATCTGAAGAAAAGGCTGCTGTTTAATATAATTAATTTTATACTTTGGATATTACGGCCAAATCTTTATATAACAGAACAGATAATTTTTTTCCCATCCTGATGCCCAAAGGAGAAGGTCCTCTGGACAAAGATATTTATACTATCTGGGGTTACTACGCTGTTTGTCTGGGGAGTTATACTGTTCTGTGATGTTGGCTACTTGAAACGCTTTGGCTTTGTCAGCATAGGTGATTGTTTTACGATATTGGATGAACTGGCAATGTCCTGCACTCCAGCTTTTTGAGTTACATTAACCACCGGTTCTGGGTTCTTGACCGTCTTCTTGCTGGCTTTTTTCTCCATACCCGTAAGTAAGGGACTCTTCTGCACTAACTTCTTTTTGTTTCTGGCTATCTTGGGCTTTTCTAAGATCTCTTCCTTGTCCAGAGCATGCATCTCTTTAATAAGAGCGTCGAAGGTCATTTTCACCAGAAAATAGCGACCTTTCGAAAGGAAAACCTATAAGATATTTGAAAAACATTGTATTAACACATCTTACCGTCGAGTTTCTGCAGAAATCCCAAACGATGACCCATCTCAAGGGTTTGTTTCACCGGCGCTTTCAGCTCATCCTGCGGCAATTCTGTGTTCTTAGCTATGGTCACCACGATTTCTCGCAGTGTAGCCGGCGAGTTCAGCAACTGAAGAGTGTGCACTATAATAGCTCCATTAAAGTTGGGCATGTTTTCGATTTGTTGGTGATACTTCTATTGTGTTAATGTGTGCTATCACTAAGTTCGTTTCTAAGAACTGGGAGCTACGTGGAAGTGAGAGCTACGGGCGAAACACAAAATGAAACTGGACTGTTAGGTGTTGGATTTTAGTGACAAGGAAATTCAACGCTTGCTATGTTGAGGATTTTAATAATACTGTTTACAAGAATATAAATTTTTTCAAAGGAAAATCTAACTAAAATATACTTTTCAATTAAGAGACTAATAAAACACAAGAGTTTGTTTATTTTAATATCTTTATCAACAAAAATACATGAACACAACACTCGATTGACTGAAAAAGAGCCTTTTGTTTCTTAAATATCAGATGGAATGGGAAACCTTGGCCCAGCTTAATTCATCATCCAGTTGGTAACAAGATTTACGTCGATTGGCCGACGTCAAGCGTTTATCTATCTATCACCCTTTGCGAGGCTGGCCAATATATAAGGGGAGTTAGCCATATCTATCAATAATCCATGACCCACAACAACAGGAGTGGCAAAAGAATTCAGCAAACTTTGTCCAATATTGGCTTCTGATATTTACATCAGGGACGCCTTTGTGCTGACGCTTTTCGCTGTTCCTAATCAGCGTGGTCTAAATATAGAATCCCTGACCGCCCACTCGCAAAACTCTTTGGTAATCGCCCCCAGAAAATATACCATATGGAGGTTTAATTAAACTCGGTCCTGCACAAAAAACAGCAAGCCACAAAAAAAGAGGAAAAAATATAGAAGAAAAACAAAGAAAGATGTTTGTACACAAAATAAACAAGGAGAAAGTTTTCGGTATCAATCATGTTTATAGTGGCAATTAAAGCTTTAACAGCTGTCAAAGTCAACTGACGAGCCAAGATGTCAATGCTGATGCATCATCGTCGTCAACTTTAGATGAACTGATGGAAAAGTCAAACGAAAAAGCTTTTAATAAAGTAAAAATAATATTATTTAATTTGAAGCTCAACGAAATGATGGCAGTTGGATGCAAAGGATGCAAAGGACAGTTGGGAAAATGCAACGCCTTTGTTTATCTCTGTTATTGACAGCCGATGGTAATTTAATCAAAAAGTGTCCATATGGCAGCCATTGAAGCGTTCGTTTGGGCGTTTACAAAAAAATGACTGAGAAAAATGTAACAGAAAAATTCAATAATATCCCCAAATACCTTTAAAATAATAAAATACTATTTTTAAGCCCTAAAAACATATTAATTAATACGTGTGTGTAAGAGTAAAAAAAAACTGCCTAAATAATTTTGATTACTATGAAAATATTAATGTTATTATTATATTGAACATGTTAAATTTAAGGAAAAAAATTAAAAAACAAGTGACAAAAATATAATCGGAAAATTAAAAATTTTATCATACTTTCTGTGCTTATAGAAAAAATGTAAAAAGCATAAAAAGGTGTCGGAAAATATATAAAAACTACTATTCTACATTAAACTTGAATAAAAGAAGTTAAAGCCATAAAAAAAGTCTTGAGGGAAATTCAAAAAAATTAAATTATAAAGACCGGTGATATAAAAATAAATAAATAAATCAATCCTGCCATTTTATAGTTACTTTTTAGGAATCTATTACTAGCCATTTTACTTAAAGCTCGAGGGCAGCGCTTTAAAGTAGGCTATGATTTTTGCCCTAGGACCTAGTTTTCCCATTTTTGTTTGTGTAAGAGATACAAAATACATGTATATAATGAATGTATCTGTGTGCATGCAAAACTGGCTTTTGTGGGTGGGTTAAATTCTATTTGATATCCGTTTCGGATAGGCACCTAAAAATAGAAGCGTTCAAAAATCAGGGACGACAAACAGCTCTCCGCCCAAAGCGAACATTTATTTTTAAATGTTTGATGTTTTCCTCGGCTAAATGTAGCATTTCGACTTCAACCCAAAACAATCAAAGGCCGGACTACCAGGAAATTCGTTTGTTGATTATTTGGTTTCAACGCTTCTGCACAGTAGAAATAAAAGAAGAATTTGCCCAAAATAAAAAAGAAAGACACTCTCGCACGGAAATTCTTGTCTGAAAATGCCATTTAAAATGCAGTACAAATGTTATTTTAACACTTGTCAGTGTGCACAGAAACAAAACATGAATGGGTTTTTTTCCATGGAGTCGGGAGGCGAAAGCATAAGGCATGCTTAGAATGACACGTTTTCCCCTTATTATTTATGGCAAGTGAGGAAAGTTGAATTGTGAACAATGGCGATGTCAGCATGGCATCTATTTGACAGGAAATTCAGGTATATTTACGACTTTATAAAGGATGGTTACCAGCATTTATGTAAGAAATGTACATTTAAAGGGGTTAAAGTTAGCTAAACTATATGAGAAACTTTACTGGAATAAGTACAATTTGTATAAAATACAAGTAATAATATTTCCATTTTTATTTTAGATAAAATTATAAGAAAAATTCCAAAAGACAGTAAAATTACCATCTTTAATTATATCCTGGAATATATACAATTAGATTGTATATTCATTTTTATATAAGCATTTACTCTGCAATCATCGAATTGGTTTGAGCTTAATTGGTTAATTAAATATGCTCGATTGAACGGGAATCCTCTTTATCAAACGGGTAAAATATCACAACATCTTTGACATTTATGCACAGTCAACCTACATGCACACAGTGAGCTCCAAAGGTGTGTGTACATGCGAGAAGTATACGTACATGCGTGATAAACGACAGCTTCTGCAGCCTGACAGTTATACTTGCTGTGTTTTATTCGAAAGGATGACCTGTCCGGTAACCCTCTTCCTCATTTTCCTCCATTGTCACCATACACCATAGAAAATCAGGGATTATACGAAGGATTAACATTAAATAAGCTTGTAAGCTTATAAGATCTGAAAATACTGTTCGTTTAAAAAAGTTTTCGTACTTAAAACTTTTAGAACTTTTAGAAAAACAACGTTTACACAAAGTCAGCCAGGAGTTAAATTTAAAAAGTAAATATATATACACGTATCCATCAAGTTAAAATGGAAAGCCAGCTTCTATAACTACAATAAAATGTATTCAATAGAAATCGTTGAATAACTTATGATTTTACCATTGTAATTATAATTCTGTCCATGCTAAAAAAAAATTAAAGTCTTATAAAATTAGTTTTCAGTGAAAACATTATAAGATTTAATCATTTTTAAGATACATAAAACTGTTTATTGAAAACTATGTAAAATGTTGATTTGTAATAAATAACATAAAATTAAATTAATGTTTTAAATAGTTTATCATTTTGTTTATAAAATTGACTTGTTATCACATATTAAATTAATTTTTTAGCTAACAAATTTCAATTTAAAAATATATATAAATATTTTTTGAAAGTTCAGAAAAGTAAGGGATATATTATAACAATGTGCTTTACTATCTGCAGTTTATTGTCGAGTTCTGTGTTACCTGGTTGTTAACAAATTTCAATTTATAAATGAAGTTCCATTTAAAAAAAGATTTTAAATCATTTTTCAAAGTTAAGAATAATAGGGGTTTCAAGAACCCTACCCTAACTGCAGTTTATTTTATAGTTCAGTGATTACTGATTTTTTAAGCTACCAATTAATATTTGAAAATATAACTACACTTAAAAGGAGATAGTTTATAATTTTTCAAAGTTAAGAATAGTAGGGTTTATAGGAAAACCGTTCCCTATACTAACTGTAGTTTCTTTTCGTGTTCAGGGCTATCTGGCTGACTGTCTGCTGGCCATGTTTTTCGGTGTATAAAGACCATGCGAGTGACAAATTATATGCACCACGGTGGGGCAGGGCGACTGGGGAGACAGATGAGTTGTGTGGAAGTGTCAGCATCAGTGTCAGTTTGGGTTTTTCCAAGTAAAATGCTTTATGTGCAGCCAGCGAGACATTTTTGGCCTTGGTAAAATATGAGTTGCAGTTTGCAGCTACCGGCAGACCAAAGGCAATAAACTTTGACCTGCTCCACCTAGGCATGCATGCCATATACACCCTTTTGATATCTCGTATATCAACTAATTGCACTTTGTTTATTGACCATGTGTGGTGTGTGTGCGCCAGCCTTGTTTTGTGGGCTTTTGTAATTTTGTTTTATGTCTGGGACGTGCCTCCTTGGCCAATTGGAAATTTTATACCCATAGATTGTCAATTTTAATTGACTTTGCTTGCCCATTTGCAAAAACAGACGGGCCAGCTGTTGTTGCGAAATGTGATTTGCATTTTGTTGATTCACAGATTCGCAAGAATTAAAGCCAGGCCCGAACGGAGCTGTCTAAATATCAACAAAAGACACGCTATTTAAGACATTTTGATTGGGACTTAAGCCTCTTTTCTTGCTTAACCAGCATTAGCTGAGGCCCAGCACAGTGATGCCCGAAAGTATGCTACACCGAAATGTTTTTTTAAACAAAATTTTCTCTCTCTTCTAAGTCAATTAATTGAAGCCATTTCTTCTGCTTTCTTTCGGGGGCTTTCCCCCATTTTCCAGCGGCACATCTTCTTGTCTGACGACGAGCATTTGCGTCATTTTGATGCGGGCAACTTTTACGCACTTGCGTCTTAATTACTCACACCGCATTTGGCCCGCCATCGTTTTTCCCCATTTTCACCCGGCTTTTCCGTTCTGCCTGCCTTTCTTAAATCCTTAAGCTCCTTTCACAGTTTGCCTGTCTGCGAGCCGCTTTCTACAGAGGTTTTCTTCCCTCCTCGGTGGTATTTCGATTACGGTTTTATAATGGCTTTATAGGCATTTAGGCGAGAAATATAATATAATAATGTATTGAAACATGTGCTGAAAGATTATATGTAGATAACTATAATTTAAAATATTTCATAGACGATTATTAACAGTTCCCGAACGGAATAAATATTAAATATTTACTACAATATAAGGGCTTATAATTTATAAAAAATATATTTAAAAAGTAATATTTTATACTTTAATAAATAAACATCTTTGATTAAGCAATTACTTAAATATGTTATATTTCTCCATTACTAAATATATTATTTTTCGAATTGGATTATTCTAAGAGGGTTTTTTGTAAGTGTATTTTGGTGTTCGTTAAGTTTCCAAGTTAAAACTTTTTATCAGGATTTCGCTTTTGTGT